AAATGTTGCGCGCTTCTGGTGCTTCTCAGGCCTAAATCTTACAAATTACGGAGCAGGCCGCTCCGAAAGACCGCGTGCGAGTGCCGTGAATGGCGCGGAGCACGTGCATCGGCCGCACAGTCGCCGAGCGAGGCGCTCGTTCGCCGTGTGCTTCATGCGACCTTCATCAAGCCTCTCGTCGGCGACTGAGATACGCCGCGACTCAGAACGCTCTACAGGGTGGCGAATAAAAAAAAGGGCCGAGTCCGCGCCCAGGCGCTAACTACTCCGCGGAGATCGTAAAAAACCGGAATCGCGGCGCCGCGTGGACGAGAAGCGATACCGCTGAGAGGAAAACCGCGATTGACGTCACCGAGGAAACCGGAATGGGACGGAAAGTTCCTCTTTTTTTATCCCGTTCGCACGACAACGAATCAAGGATGAAGACTTTGTTTCGAGAACAAAAAAAAAAAGAATTGAAATAAAAGCAAGTCACTCGCGCGCGTAGATTACATGCTATCTGCATAGATTACGCGTCTAAGAAGGCTAGTGCGTGCGTACAGTTCGTCAAGGCTGTCCAGCTGCACCGTCTAACGAGATACAAATTAGCCTGGACAGATGCAAACCGAACGTTAACTGAATGTCTAGCGTGTAGTTGCTTGTAAAAGATAGCGGCGTATCGCTAAACTTATCCGATACTTGAAATGACGGAAGTCCATCGAAACGGGTACTCATATTTGTCGTGAATAATAAGTCATCGATACTTTCTACCGACGAGCCGGATATCGCCGTGACGATCCGCCTGTTGAGTAGACGAGACGATGAAGATTTTCGAAAGCGGTCGTCTGGATCATCAAGGTCGCCCGATACTCGCGTTTCTCGTCTCCGCAGCCCGATCTTCTCTCGTCGCGATGACCGCGGCGGTCTGTGAAAAAAAAAGGAGCTGTTACACGACGAATTATTCCATTTTGCGCGATTCTACGTGTGCACGCGTGTGTCTCGCTTAATTCCGCGAGCGAAATCGGCCAAAAGCAGTCGAAAGCAGCCCACGGAGGTATCCCGATCTCTCCACGAATCCGTAGCGAGACGCGAGGGGCGAGGAGATGTGCAGAACGCGGGAAAGAGAAAGAGAGAGAGAAAGAGAGAGAGAAAGATGGAGACCGGCTCTTAAGCGAAGTGTACGACCTCCCTTCTCCTCCTCGTTCCCTCCACAAGAACGAAGTTCGCGCCGTCGAAAGATGCTGCCCGCCGCTCTCTCACGTGGCCAACGCACATAGATACATACATTATCGTCGCGGGCGAGCGAGCGAGGCAGCGAGCGCACCTTGGCTTCCCGCGCGGTTAGTCCGCCCGGTTAGTGGGTGCGCGCCCAAGCTCGCCGGTGGCTGCCGCATACCGCGCGTGTCGTCGTCATCGTCCCGGCATTTTGCTTACCAGTCGTTACTCATCGATAAGCAGGACAATCGCGCTTTCACGCTTCGTCTTTCGCGCGTCACGTGCGCGATCGCGACGTGACGCTCCGAAAGCAGTGCACACGCGGTTGTTAATGAATCACCGAGTTGGAGATCGAGCCGGGGAATGATGCGGCTCTGTGGTGAAATTTATCGCGCGCGTGAGAAAGCGAGAATGCAAAACGATTGATCGCGCGGAATCGCGCGTGCTGAGCGGGCGAGTCGTCGCGACGGTTCCGCAAGGGCGATCCCAGTCGCCGCTAAGCGTGGAGAACGATCGTGACTTCACGCGCGATAAATTCTTTTTTACTTCGAAATCCTCCGCGAGTGCTGTCGCACGACGTAGGATTCTCGCGGAACAGTGAATTGTCGGAACGAGAATTTTTTTTTCCTCGTAGAAAAATGGCTCGCCTCGTTGTCCTGGTTATCGCTGCGCGACCACACAAACGCGCACCGGGGAAAGTGATATCCGGAAATCAAGCGCGCTTCAAGTGTGCCTCCGTTTATGTAACTGTGCCGCGATCGTCCGCCCGTGATAGTGCCAGACGGAAAGAGGAAGATGCCGCACGTGCGGGCATCGAAGTCTCTCGGGCGGTCCTCGGAATCGATAGCGTACTCGCGACTTCTGCGTCGCGCTGCGCTTTCTGGAAATGAGAAGAAGAATGTGCGCAGAGGTTTATCAGCGAGTGCGGCGCGACATGGACTTTCGTTATCGCAGAGTGCGTCAGCGATCGTAAACTGCAACGTTCCGATAGTGAAACGGGGAAATCACGATTACGTGGAACTGTGCCTGGAACTGGGCAGGCCTGTTCGCCGCTTGAGAATAATTAAATAATATTGTTGTCGCCTTCGAGTGTTCGCGACGTTTCCAATGTTTTCCCTGGTTTTTCCGAGAGAATGCTCGGTATGTTCTCGCTTCATCGTCGATCCGATTGACGACGGTCCGCACCTGATAACAAGACAATCGAGCGAAATAAAGCACGTAGATTTCGAAGCTTCGGTGCGTGTGAGATTTCTTTTTCCTTCTACTTCCATAGTTGCAAAATAACGTCGGTCTTTCGACATGCCGATACAATCACGGAGTCATCGTAGCGGAGAGGAGACCTTGGACGCACTTAACCGAGGATACGCCGAACGTTTACATAACGGCGACAGCTTTAGAAAGTGCGAGGGGACCCGAAGAGTTTTTCAAGAACGCGATAACGCAAGCAAGCAAGAAAATATTGTGTTAAAAATGCGTTAAAACGTATCAAGGAGCAAACGGTAAAAAATAGATTTGATTAAATGGCGAAATAAAATAAGTGACTCTATACATGGAAACGAATTTTGCTCCACTGCAATTCTTGTAAAATTAAATATAAATATTATAATATTAACATTGATTTCTCTGATATCCGTTTGGATTCCTTACGTCTTTTGAGTCTTTTATTTCCCGTTTTACTTGAATCGTTTAGAGACATTTTATTATAATATCACGTTTCATTCTTATCTTGTATTTTTAAGAGACGAAGCAATTCTCCGCAAGAGAGAAAGAGAGAAAGAGAGAAGAGAAGAGGCGGACGCACGCCTGGCGATTTGAATACCAAATCACCGCCTCTTGTGCAATTCCTTCTCTTGCCTGTCTTTCTTTCTTCTTCTTTTCGTATTCCGTCCCCGGGTCTCCCTACGACCTTTCCACATCTACCTGCGTGCCCCGCGTATTTTTAGGCGTGACACGCTTTCTTTGTACCGCCCAACCGCGGATTCGCAAAAATAACTCGTCGCGAAAAGTACGTGAGGTACTGTTAAAAAGATCTTTCTTTTTATCTCTCTCTTTCCTTATCGCCTCTTACGTGTCCGTTTAACTCTTCTATTCCTTCATTTCATACTACTGTTGATTAAACTAAGCTCTCAATTATTTTACCAAAAACTCTTCAAGTTATCCAATGTCGTTTTATTTTTCCTGTTTATTTATCAAGGTTATCTTCAATACACGCATAATATTATAATTTAAATTTTAAAGAAACAGTATGAGGAAATATATAATGAACTTACATAGGATGAGTTCTCCAATAAATTTCTTCCAGTAGACTTTTTTTAAACCTCCGATTTCTCATTACTTATATTCCTTCTTGAAAATTTAAAGCTTTAGTTCCAAGAATAATCTGTACAATATTAAGTAATCATGTAATCACACAGATAAGACAGAAACTGTACAAAAACTCAGCATTTGTGTCAAACTTTTCTAATTAGTTCTTAATTATAAGGTCATCATTATTACTGCTCAAAAGTGTCATTTTAATGAATCAGATAAGACGTGAAAATAACTACAGAAGAGTGGAAATTACCGTGGGAAGAAGACTGCAGGATATAAAAGCTGGACCAGACAAAAAGGAAGAAAAAGGATTGGCAGGAAAAGAACCGAGTAACTTGGTTTAGCCTCTCCTAGGCTTTGTCTGTATGGGAGGACAGAGACATAGCCTAGAATAGGTTAGGTCAGGGCTCGTTCGGCATGGATCATCTTCGGGCGCCGGCCTGCGGAAGAGGGGAGGCGGACGGGACACGTCCAAGGCCAAGCTCAAGGTCAGCGATCGGTGAGAACGGCGCAAAGGACGTCATGCGCGCTGGAATTCATCAAGAATATTAACATATATTATAGGGATAATTAGCGTTAATAATTATCGTTTAAAAACTTCGTGCGCGATTAAGAATGATGGCGATCGGCAAAGGTAAACGAAAATATAGGTTACATGGTCCACGGTAACCTGCAATCATGTTTCTGAAGACATGGATAATCATAATTGTACATTTTCGCGTGTACATATATTTGCGAAACTACGTGCTACATACTTACGCCTTAACTACCGCGCTATAAAATATATTTTCTAATATTTAAAACAAGATAAATATCCTTCCAGTGTTACACGAGACGTGTATTTTAGAATCAGGTGTATTGATCAATGACTCTGTCGAACGAGTAGATTGCGTCTTATCTTATAGTCGATAAGTTAATTTTTTACATTATCTAACGTAAACAATGGAGAAATTTATGTTAT